CGGAGCCCCGTGACGTCATAGGCAGCGTTCCACTGTGGGGCGGAATGGCCCCGGCAGGCCGGTGCTGTGACGCCAAAGCAGCTCTGTGAGCGGCGCTGCCGTGTCCACCCCTGCATGTAGGGTGACAGGGCTGTGGCGTCCACACGGTGCTGCTGGCTGTGGGACCACAAGGAAACAACCGCTGTGCGCGCTCTGGCCAGCCCAGGCCTCGTGACGCGGTTGCCTTGTGTCTCTGTCCCTCACAGGTGGGCTTGTGTCCCGGTGCTGTGACGCCAAAGCAGCTCTGTGAGCGGCGCTGCCGTGTCCACCCCTGCATGTAGGGTGACAGGGCTGTGGCGTCCACACGGTGCTGCTGGCTGTGGGACCACAAGGAAACAACCGCTGTGCGCGCTCTGGCCAGCCCAGGCCTCGTGACGCGGTTGCCTTGTGTCTCTGTCCCTCACAGGTGGGCTTGTGTCACCGTGATCATCCCTTGTTCCCGGGGTCACCTGCCAATGAAACTGGGCCAACAAGCAGTGAGGGAGAAATCATGGGAGCTGGTGGTGTGAGGGCGTTGGAAGAACGTCTCCTACCAGCACAACGTGTAGGAATACACACGGCACGTGCATGGCAGGGTCAAACTCCCTCATTTATGTGAACAAGTTGCAACTAGAAGCTGGGGGTCACATTGCTTCCATTGCTGATTTCAGTTCAGTCTTCCTTCTGAACGAGTTCAGCATCCACGTTTTTGTTTGCTTCTGAACGGGCATCAGTTTTGGAGAGGAATGAGTCCTAGGCTATGGGAAAAAGGATGAGAAGCTAGAGGGCTAAAAAAGCATGGGAAGGGGAAGATGTCAAGAGAAGGGGGTGATGCTGAACTGCAGTCTAGAAAAGTGAGAATGGAATAAAGGCCCTGAGCCCCATCTGGAAGTTATTTAGGGCACTAGTAAGACTAACTTCGGCTAAGTAGCAAGGAATAGTAGGAGGGCCCAGAACTGAAGGGAGAAAGAATGTCTTAACTGGAGACTTTTCTCAATGAGTTCAGAGACAAAAGAGCTACAGCAGTGATGAGATCCTAGGGCCAATCTTTCAGAGGTCAATGCAGCTTGCAGGAGGGAAGCCTCGTTAAAGCTCAGCATTCCCTGATATTGTTGGCCCTGATCACGATCTGAAGAGTCAGGAGCACATTTCAAAAACCTACTAGTGAGATGCCCCACCGAGGCAGAGGTTTGTGACACTTGGAGCTGTGGTAGGTTAGACACAGAAAAAAGAAAGATGTAGTGGTCCCGTGAGTCCCTGCCGTTCCAGGTGGTTGTCTTTTCTGAGATGCTGTTGCAATAGAGAGAAGCAGCTCAATATTGGCTTTGCTTGTGGCTGCTCTCTTTCATAGTCAACCCAAACAATACACCTTGTTCTTTTGTTCTTTATATTTAAACCAGTGAGTCTTCCTTATTGTGAGCACAATCTGTCTGCCCGAAGCTCAGATAGTAATAAGAAATTCTTGACATGGCAGCTTGCGTTTCAGCAGCACCTTTAATTCATGGCTCTCCAAATGCTCTACAGGCATTGCTTCACGGAGCCTCACAACACCCCTGTGAGGTAGGTGAGTGTGGTTAACCCCTCTGTGGAGACACTGAGGCACCACGGATAAAAGACTGAGCCACCATGCTTTGATATGACCCCGCGCTTGGCCGTATAGGTCTCATGAGGCCTTCAGCTTCAGCATCGTGCTTTTTAACGCACGGCTTTAGCTCAGTCTGGAGCCACGCTGATTAGCTAGATGGGAAGCCCGTGACTGTCTGGCACGAGCTACAAGGGCCATTAATCAAGGGCAGCAGCTTATTAGCCAGGTAGATCGTTCCTTGGTGCTCCTTGCTGCTTGGATAATCTGAGAGTGTGAATGCATATCAAAAATACAGTTGGATATCAACACTGAGCGTGGCAGGCTGTAGCTAGAGCAAGGATTATGTGGCCTGATACAGTAAATGTATTGATCAGAAAGGGTAAAGTAACTTTTCTATTAAAAAAAAAAAAAAAAAGCCCACCGCTGCTCTTTCCCCAAAGGACAACAAGAACCTGGCAGGTCACTGATGGTTGTCAGATGTCAGCTTCTAGCTCTGGGTCATTTTCTTCATAACACCTGCCAAAGGAAACAAAATATGATGCATTAGTAGCCTGTTTGGGCTGGCAAAGAACTAAAAGTGTTGCCTCAAACAAAATCCAATTTCTAGTTTAGCTTTCAAGCATCAAAGTGATGGGAATTAGTTTTTTTTGGAATGGATCTTAGAGTTCTGGTAAGAAAGTACTGCAACATCATCAACAGAGCGAGAACAGGGGGAGCTTTGACTAGAAAATAAGACCCCCAACTCCAGAAAATCTAGCTGATTTATCTATTAATTTAATGACAAATCACTCTAGTTTTGGCTAGCCCTGGATGATGGCACCTATATACATGAGGTATGCTTGATCCCATCAGAGTTCATCCCCTGGATAAGCTTCACAAGGATCCCAGCTTTCACCAGGCTCACTGAAAACAGTTTGAAGCTCTGCAGGTTTGATGGTGTTTAAAGCTTTTTAATGGTTTTTGGAAGGCATAAGAGAGCAAAGGGAATATCTCAAAGGCAAGCAAGAGAAATAATCCTCAGGTAACTCTTATAGAAAGCACGATTTAAAAGGGAAACCTTTTCTGATGGCGGGTAACTTATGCTGTTGTTCATGTTGATGTTCTTCATGGAGATCAGAGTGATGCTGTTATCCTTCTCCCTTGTGCCCGCAGAGCAGCTGCCAGCAAGAGAAGGTATTAGGAGATATAGAAAAAGATCACACAACTTTGCACACAACGACAGGCGAAGAGGCAAAGCTGACACCGGCGGGTACATCGGGTTGGGTAGATCTGTGACCTTCCCATCTCCAGGTGACTGGCTGAGGAGCAGCCCATGAGTGGAGGAAGGTCCATCCAAGGCCTAGAATAGCGTTCTCTCCACTCTGGTTTTATGATCTTGACTTCATTCTCTGGGACTGAAAATGTGGACCTGCTCTTTGATCTGTTGCCATAATTCAGGCACATTCCAAGTAGCTAAATTGTCCAGAGGATTCTGGAGAAAGAAGCGACGTGTTCGATGGATTCTCATGTAGCTGGTCCGCCTAAGGGAAAGCACCCTGATGGAATTCCCCTTTCTCCCTAGCTTAAGGGCTGGGATTTGCATTTAGTGTCAAAGGCGAGTGGAAGATTTTGGGATTAGGGTGCCTCTGGGTGCAGTTTTCTGCTGATATGTCCTGTCTAAGTGGCTGCAGGTCACTTAAGTCATGATCATTAAGGTTATTTATGAACCATTAATGTCAGTGCGAACTCACCACCTTGGGACCTTCCTCCCTGTGTCCCTTCACCCTTTCTGAAGCTGGATTGCTACCTCAGTAGGGAATTATCAGACAGAAGAGCAAGAATAAGAGCTTCTGGGATGCAGTTACCCTTTCTTCTCATTTTAGTTTCCTTCCTGTTTCTGTTTCCTGCTCCTTTCCCACCTGCAGGCCCTTTCCCAGGCAGTGGTGATGGGCAGACTATCCTCCACTTGGTGCTTCTCCTCCAAAGGCCTCTGCAGTGGAGTCCCCCTTCTCCCACACTTTCCTCTAGCAGGAATAGGGATCTTGGAAGGTATTTTTGGGGACCTGATCTCCTCTTGCTGAGATGGCTTTGAAGTTCAGAAGCCCAAGTTCGGACCTCAAGCCTGTATCTCAGCAAGGCAACACAAGTGAAATGCTCTTTTGAAAGGTGATGGCAGTAAGTGAGGTCACCAGGCAGCCTTACCTCTCTGACACCATGTTGCTCCCCGGCTTCTGCTTATCTGGTGGGGGAGAAAAGTAGTTGCTATGTAGGTGAGAACAGCATAGCGAAGCAGTAAAATCAGTCAACTCAGCTATATTCAGAGTTGTAATGTAAAGGACTATAAATGACATCCATATGAGATTAGAAGCACCATCAGATTCTCAAAAATTGGTTAGAGAAGGTGCTTCGACTAAGTTTGCATTTATTTTTATAGGCAGGACTGAATGTTTTGCTGCTTATTTAATTGCTGGTTCCCTGTCCTGCCATAGAGCAGCCTGGCCCTCTAGTGGGCAGCGTGTCATGAAAACTGGGATTCTGGGGAAAACAAGGGTCAATCTCCACAACTGCTTTGCAGACAGTGCCACATACGTGTGGAAATCTGCAATTTTCATCCTTGGCAGGCGCAGCAACCTTCCTTCTGCCCCCTTGTGCGGATGGGTCTGGCCTGGGACTCTAAAGAACAGGTTGCACATTCCTAGTTGCTAAATTGGTATCCCAACCTGTTGTGTCCTCCCTCCTCCAACCTCCAGCTAACACATTTCGTAAGCTTTTAAAAAGGAATCCTTTCATCTTTCAAGAACTGCCAGATCAACATAGAAAGTGATAACTTGCTGACTAGGAAAGGAAAGACAGCCATAGGATACACTCCTTGGGCGTGAAGAACTCTGGCTCAGCTATAATTCTGGTCTAGAAATGATTTTTGTACTCTTCAAGCTCATCTTCAGCTGCGAAGAGGAGCGTGAAGCTGTAAAGTGTGCGGCCTCCTAACCGCCCAGCACCAGGGTGTAGCTGAAACTCCTCAAGGCCCACACGGGCAGGCAAATACCTTCCGAGTCCTTTAAACGGTTACACTTGAACCGCAGGCTGACCACGGCGACGAGGATGATCACAACCACGATCAGGATGATTATGAAGCTGATGACACCTGGGGAAGGAGGAAAGAATCGTCCGCTGTTGGCACGGCAGCGTGCCTGCCCTTGGTGCAGTGCAGGGACTCCCTGAAAATTTGGGTTGGAAAACAATGACTCGTTCATCTCTGATAACATGAACATGGTATGTAGTAAATAATGAAGTGGGAATAAAGAATAAATAATGATATTATAAGAATAAATAATGACTGGAGTGAATTTTTTTTTAGCCTCAACGAACTTTTGATGACTTTATAATTGATAATACAGTGCCAAAAAGGCAGAAAACTGGATTGCATGAAGGTTTGTTTGGGGTCTGTATGTCTTCTAGTTGAGAAGTCCTATCTTAAACATTTGTAAAGTTGGGTAAATACATAATGTAAAGGGGAGAGATGAGATAGAGACTCTGGACAGTTTGTTATTGTTGTCATAAACCAGTGGCCAAACACAGGTTTGATTCTGATATCTAGGATCTAAAAATTGCACAGAAATTTGCTTCAGGACTCCTTTTGGCTCCCCTTGGGTTCTTGTCAGATTAAGGTATGGCACCTCTCAGACCTCCGTCCTCGCACAATCTGTGAAGGATGCAGAGGACTCGGTTGCTCCCTGCCAAGCAAGGTATAAAATGTATGGGCGAAAGCAGGAAGGTGGGGCTGGGAATGCAGTCCCAGTAGGTATGCAGGGAAGAAAAAAGATTGCCTAAGCTCCAGGGCAGGCAGCCTATTTATTCCGCACCCTATTAGGGAAACCGGGACATTGGCAGGGGATAATTTGTGCTTCTTGCTGTAACACAGAGCTGTAATGTAGCTGGGGCAAATATTGGTGCTGGGAGCAAGATCCCAAGTTCAGGCATGCCGTGATGAGCTTTCAAAATGCTGATCCATGGTATTTTAGGTATGAAGAGTAATAATTACTCTTATTAAGTAATTACTCTTATTAAATAAGATTTTTTACTGCTTGATGACAAGTCTTTCTGAGGGTTTTCATTGCACTCAGACTCTTTAATTGGGCATGCTCATGAGGAAAACAGCAGAGCCATTCCCCAGAGAAGCCTAACTGCTGAAGTTGGGTGTCCAAAAATGACTGGCTTCACAGAATCCCAGAAGGGCTGAGGTTGGAGGGGACCTCCAGAGATCACCTAGTCCAATCCCTTGCTCCAGCAGGGACATCCAGAGCACGTGGCACAGGGTGGCATCCAGGCAGGTTTGAAGATCTCCAGAGAAGGAGCCTCCACAGCCTCTCT